AAGAGTTGCAGGCCAGGGAAAGACTAAAATATCCCAGAGATCTGCCTCTGCTTGCAGGTTGACTGTTAGTCTTAGTTACTTTATGAGCCACAGTTTGTAGTCATCAGCTGGATGTAAATTCTCCCTAACTGGCTGGGTGAATGAAATTCCAGCAGGTGAGGGCCTTGCTTCTCCCTTGGGCTATGGCTGCTTTGGTGGGAAATTTCTGCCTGATAAGAATGGTTTCCGCAGTGTGGGTTAATGGCTCAGCATAGGGACCCAGGCAGCAGCCTTCACAGATTGGCTCCCAGAACCACACAACCCAACGACTGCAAGCTAGACTAAAGACTCAAAGCACCCAGGGACTAGTCTGTGCCTGGTAGTCTCTGACAGTTAATATGCCTCAGCTTGCAGTTCTGTGCTAGGTGCAAACTCCTCTCAGTGGGCAGAGTGAAATTCCAACAGGTGGGGCAGTTGCTTCCCCCTGAGGCTAGAGCTGCTGTTATAGAAAAACTCTACCTGGGAAAAATGGTTTCTGTATCGTGGGGAAATGACTCAGCACTGGGATCCTGATGGCTGCCTTCCTAGCTCTTTCCCCAGCGCCATGAACCCCTGATTCCCCTCACGCAGCTCTAGTCCAGTCATCTCTCCCTCTGCCGGAGCCCAAGGTGAGTGGCTGTAGCTGAAATTTAGTGAGCTGGTCCTTCCAGCATGTGCCCGTGTTACCAGCGCCTCTCTCTCCTGGACAGAACCTCTGCACTGGTGTTTTTCACAGCCAGATGTTATGTGTGGCCTTTCTTTGTTCTGCCACTCTGCTGGGGAGCCTGGCTTGGGGTTTCAAGCCCAGACTTCTCAGGGGAAACTTCTCACAGTTGAGATAACCTCAGCTGCTGCCTGTGAAAACCCAGCCAGCCCTCTTGTGCCTTCGCACCTCCTATCAAACTCTATTTTGGCTCCTCTTTACATCCTTGATTATAAAGGTTCTCCCCAGCTGATCTTCAGTTAGTTATTCCAGATGACTTTTCTTTATTTTAATTGTAATTCTAGTTTGGTCCTGGGAGGTGGTCAGTGTAGCTTCCATTTACTCTGCTGCCATTTTTTCTCTCCCTGTTTATGAATTTTAAAGTCTAATTTAAATAAATACCCATGCACCTGCTATTCAATTCGTGAGCCTGCACGTTCCCAATTCCATTGCAGTGACCTTGTTCCCCCCAGTGCAGTCACCTGCCTCTCCCCAAGTAACAATCATCCTGAATTATCTCTCTTGCTTTTTACAAATTAACGCTTTACCAAATATCTGAAAATCTTAATTAATATGTTGTTTACTTTTGCTTGTTTTTGAATAAATGTTTTCTTAAACTCGATTTATTTATTTTTTGCCTCAGTGTCCAAAAACACAATATCTGCAAATGAAATAGTTATAAACTCTTTTCTCCATTTAACTCCACTTGAAGTAATTATGTCTGGGATGGAAACAGGCATTGGGCTGCAGCAGAATTGGGGAGTAGAAGAGGTATACCTGGTTAAGGAGTCTATGTGTCTGTAAGCAGATACAAATAGAGGAAGTTCAGAACTTATAGAGAAAATGAGACTTACACTGTCATTTGCATAGTTGGGTGACAGTTTATTGATGTACAATAAGTATGGTAAATATCAATTGTAAATAACTGGCTCAGGCTCCACATAGCATATTTATCTCTTGGTTCCCACTTGGTAGGTAATTATTGACAGCATTTGTGATATTGATGGCAGTGTTAGGTAATGAGGCATTTGGACTCTGAAGCCAGATATTCTGGGTCTGAATCAGTGCTCCACCACTTAATAGTCATTTGACTTTGAGTCTTAGTATAAGGAGTGATGATAATACCTGCTCCACAGGGTCCCAGGCAGTAACTCTCAGCTATTGTTGCAGGGATCATCTGGTGTGAAAGGGTAAGTTTATGTGGCATGAGGTCCTGTAGTATAGTTGAAAGAATGCAGACCCTGGTGTTAGACTGAGTTGGTTTTGTTCCTGGGTGTATTTCTGCTTAGTTGTGGGACCTCAGGAAAGTCACTCCATCTTTTGGAGCTTTAGTTTCTTCCTCTATAAAATGATATTTATTACCCATGCTTTTTTATGGAAATAAGCGTGTGTGTCTATCTTGGAGGCAGATACATATTAAATGCTCAACAAATAATACTGTCATGTATTGTTTTTAAGGTTCATGGGTTTGCTTAATAACTCAGCAACTTACATGGGTCCTTGGTCACCAGATGTAATGCTGAGCCACTGTTTGTGTTAAATAGGGCTCAGGATTTCAATATGAGCAAAGGGGGTCAGATCACTCTGAAAACAAATTAAACTGGTTGCTTAGCATTTGGAATAGTTATTATAAATGTAATCTAAGCCTCTGCAACTTTTATTTTAGGGTCGATAAGGTATGTTTCCCTTAGTAAGATAATTTTTTAAAAACTTCAATTTTTGGAGCAGTTATAGGTTCACAGCAAAATTGAGTGGAAAATAAAGACGGTTCCCTTATACTCCCACCCATGCACAGCCTCTCCATGATCAACATCCCCACCAGATTTGGTACCTTTATTAATATCAATGAACCTACAGTGACACATCATTATCACCCGAAATCTGTAGTTTACATTAGCATTCACTCTTGGTGCTATACGTTCTGGCTTTTGACAGATGAATAATGATATATGTCCACCACTACAGTACCACTCAGAGTAATTTCAATGCACCCTCTGCTGCTCTGCCTGATCATCCCTGTCTCCCTGCTTAATCCCTGGCAGCCACTGATCCTTCTACTGTCTTCACGGTTTTGCCTTTTCCAAAATGTCATGTAGTAGGAATCAAACAGTATGTAGTCTTTTCACATCAGCTTTTTTTAAGTAAGAAAAAAAATTTAACTTCTGAATTCTGCTTGTCTAGAAAAGTATGTCTGAGAAGATGGCCCTCTGAAACTCAACATGCAGTGTCCTTCCAGGGTCTGGGAGACAGGAAGCTGACTTGTGCCCTGAAAGCCAGGTCATCAGCAGCCCCAAGGCTTAGCAGATGGACATGTTGCAACTACATTAGACTTTACACCTTCCTTCTCATGATATTTTTAACTGTACTGGACCAAGTCCATAGTGTAGAGTTATAAATAGGGCTGGGTGGAGACACATGGGTAGGAAAATAATTAGGTGCCTCTTTAAACCTGTGTCCTCAAGTATTTATTCCATATTTATTCCCTAGAGAGGCCAAGTCCTACGTGTGGGCAAGAGCAGAAAAGGAAGCAAGTTGGCTGGCTCTGGTACACCTTGTTTAGCAGAACAAAACTAGACCTTAAAAGTCAGCTTGGTGCCCCTGCCAGAGTTGCTCAGTGGTTAGAGCTTCAGACCGAAAGGTTGTGGGTTCAATTCTCGGTCAGGGGCATGTTCCTGGGTTGTAGATTCAATCCTGGGTCAGGGCATGTGTGGGAGGCAACCAATTGATGTGTCACTCTCACATTGTTGTTTCTCTCTATATATTTCTCTCCCCCTCCCTCTTTCTGTTCCACTCTCTCTAAAAAAAAAAAAAAATCAATGGAAAAAATATCCTCAGGTGAGATTAACAAGAACAAAAAATCAGCTTGGTGATTACTGGTTGTGGTTAAATCTCATTAACTACTCCCTCCTCTACAGTTTACAAAATACGCCTTCTAGCCAGGAGCACTGTCTGACTGTGTCAGGCCTTTCTACGTCCATACACACCAAGTGATGAGTGTCTCTTACAGGTTTGTACTCTGGGCATATCCAGCAGGCCTTTGCCAACCTAACTTGTTCGTCCAGCTCTTACTTCTGTGGAACTTTGACAAAGTTGGCTTTTCCTTCTCTATCTGGAGCTGCAGGCCCTGGGGAAATCCCCTTCGGCCTGTCCTCGTCAGGGGGAGAAGCCCTCCGGGTTGGCACTGTTTCCCTCTGCGTAGCTGTGGGCATGCTCACAGAAGATGAACCGAAAAGCTCTGCTTACCACTTTCCATTCTGCCTCCCGCCTGGGGCCCTCATCTGGGAGGTAAAGGGTGGAAAATGAGTAGGGGAAGAAGAGCTAAGGGTGATGAAAGGGAGGACTCAGGGCTGGACACTCCGTTGGCACAGTGCGGTGAACACCTGGGGCAGAGGTTGGCAGCCGTTTTCAGTTAGGGCTAGAGACTGTTTCAGGCTTCCGGGCCTTGTGCTTTCTGCTGGTGTAGCAGGAAGGCTGCCACATGTAATCTGTAAAGGGATTGGCATGCTGTTCTCCACTAGAACTTTACTGACACACAGCCATTCTTACTTTGCTGGCCACACGGAAACACACAGTGAGCTGCATTTGGCCTGTGGTTTGGTTTGCTGGCCTGGTGTAGGATAATCCAGGAAACCTGAAGTTTGTAAGTTTGATGGTATCTCTGCTTCCTGTGTATTCTCTGTAGACATCCTTTTCGCACTCAGTACAGCTGAGTGAGAATAACTTTGGAAATGCTAAGTGAATCCAAGGAGTGGGAATTTTTCCCACCTTTGGACAGTAGAGGAGAAATATTTTCCCTGAGGCCGGCTATACAGCAAAGACAGAAGCACGGGGCTGTGACGTAGTGATGGCCGCACATGACAAGTTCTGTCTTTCATTCAGTGCTAATGCCTTGGAGGTTCTGAGTTCGGTTTTAACAAGGGAAGCCAAGCGCAATCTCCACACCTCTTCTTCGATAATGAAACTATATTATTTATATTTCAGAGCTCTTTCACTTCAGATATTTTGCTAGACTTTCTCTTTTAAACACATATTTTAGTATTTTTAGTCTGCGAATGACGTGTCCACTTTGAAAGATAATGGTCTCTTAAATGGATGGAGCTTTGGCTTTGTGGGTGAGATGTGCCAGAGTGTGAAATGCTTATACTCCTAAGCCAAGAGTTCATTAGTTTTTAGGTGATAAGGAGCTATCATTAATCATTTACTTCATGTTTATTTAATTTATCTTTTTAAATTATTAATTTTTGCATATTTAATAATCTACTGTAATTTTTATCAATAGGATCCTTACTACAGATTCAATGACCTTAACTACAGATGGATCTCTTTGGATAACTGGACCTACAGCAAGGAATTTCAAATCCCCTTTGATATTAGGTATGTATGTGTATATCTATGTACTTATATCTGTATCTATTCAGTTATTATTATTTGAGGGTTTTTTTCTTTTCCTGTCTCTACAATCATCTCTTGGGTTTTTTTTTTTTTAGGTTACATATCAGAGAGTTATTTGACTAAAGCCTTGTACTATCAAAGAGAATATATGATTTAGGTTTTGATCTGTAAATGAGGATGGTGCCACTGATCATCGGTCATGAAATTATACCTTAGTCATTTTTTATGTGGTTATAATGGAGTCACCTAAACCTGGTCAATTCTTTTATCTGCATTTTCTCTCCCTGCTCACAATAATCAATAGAGTGTATTTATTTATAATATTGTCAAGTAGGATCAGAGATACATCAGTTGTTCAGTGTGGTATTAACCAGCCATTGAGACTGTGGCATTGACCTTACATTATGTCATGAGACCATACAAAAAGCATGTTACAGTTTTTAGTAATGTTCTATGAAGCAGGATGTAACCGAATATTTCTACCACTATTATTGCTAAGTAAAAAAATTCTTCAGTCCCTTTATAGCTCTTTTTTGCTAATGATTTACTAGCCTTTTAAAAGAGACATAAAACCAGAATATGGTTCTCTATATCACAGAGTTCTGTGGTCCAGGCTTTTATTTCTAGAGAATACTTAAAATACCTCTATTAAAGGTCTTAGTTCACCTTGAACTCAACGTACCCAAAATTTAACCAATTAACTTTTCCACTTAAAGTTGACTTTATGTTCTAACAGCCTCATTGTTTCTGTTAATGTAACACCATTTTCCCAATATTCTATGCCTAAGGTATTTTTGGCTTATTTGTTTTCTTCATTTCCCTATATTCAGTCTGTTTCTGAGTCTTGTTAATTTTTGCTTAACATTTCTCTCCTTTTTGTGTAATCCTCACCTGAGGACATTTTTCTATTTATCTTCAGACAGAATGGGAAGGGGAGAGAGAGAGAGAGAGAGAGAGAAGCATTGATTGGTTGCCTCCCTCATGACCCCGACCAAGGCCGGGGATGAACCGCAACTGAGGTACATGCGGTTGACCTGAATTGAATCCATGACTCTTTGGTCCGCGGGTCAACACTGTTACCACTGAGCCAAACTGGCCAGGGCTCTGTCTCTCTTTTAAAAAATTTTTTATTTTTTTATTTGAGAGAGAGAGAGAAACATCAATTTGTTGTTTCACTTACTTATGCATTTATTGGTTGGTGTTTGTGTGTGCCCTGATGGGAGATTGAACCTGCAACCTTGATGTATCAGGACGATGCTCTAACCAACTGAGCTACCTTGCCAGGGCCGCATTTCTCTTAATTCAGCTTCTTCTTCCTCATTTTCAATTTTCCACCTCAGCCTGCCCCTTCTATTAGTGAGTGCCTGGCATTAGGCCAAAATGACCTAACTAAATTTCTTGCTCGATCTGTTTTATTTTCCTGTCATTCATATGTAAAAACATTAGATACATCTTCCCAAAATACTGATTTTACCATGACATCCTTGCTTAATAACAACAGTCACTTCCTTTTGATTGGCAAATCAAGTTGAATCTTCTCTGCTTGTCTGTGAAAACACTGCTTACTGGCCCATCCCTGTACCACTTCCTGCAACCCCTCCCACCCTGCTGACTTGTCCTGTATCCCAGCAGGACTTCTGCCGCTGAATCAAGCCCCTTACCTTACTGTTGATTTGTTAGCACTTCCATGTTTTGCTTTTGCTTTTCCTTTTGGGGTCCACCCTCTACATAGGCATTTCTACTTATTTTTTAAAAAGTAACAACTTTATTGAGATATAATTCATATACCATACAATTCACTCATTTTAAGTGTACAGTTCAGGCCCTGGCTAGTATGGCTCAGCAGTAAGAGTGTTGCCCGTGGACCAAAGAGTCCCGGGTTTGATTCTGGCCAAGGGCACGTACCTCAGATGTGGTTTGTTGCTGGTCCTGGCTGGGGTCGTGTGGGTGGTAATCAGTTGATGTGGCTCTCTCACATTGATGTTTCTCTCTCTCTTTCACCCTCTCTCCCTCCCTCCTACTCTATCTAAAGAGAAATGGGAAAATATCCTCGGGTAAGGATTAATATATATATTAATTAATATATATATATATATATATATCTCCTCAGGTGAGGATTAAAAAATAAAGTGTACAGTTTAGCCCTGGCCAGTGTTGATCAGTGGTTAGAGCATTGGCCTATGCCCTGAAGCATCTTGGGTTTGATTCCTGATCAAGGACTGGCACCTGGGTTTGCAAGTTCCATTCTGGGCCCAGGTCAGGGTTGTATAGGAGGCAACCAATCAGTGTGTCTCACAATCAATGTGTCTCACATAGAAAAAAAAATATCCTCGGGTGAGGATTACAGAGAACAAATTAAAGTGTATAATTCCATGGCTTTTAGTATATGCACAAAATTAATCACTATAATGAATTTTAGAACATTTTTCTCACCATCAAAAGAAAGTCATACCCATTAGCAGCCATTCCCCCTTCTCCACTTCCTCCCCACACCCCTACCCTGCCCTAGGCAACCACTGATGTATTTTCTTTTGCGGGATTTGTATGTTCTGGAAATCTCATATAAAGGGGAATATGTGATACATGTGGTCCTTTGTGCCTGGCGTCTTTCACTTACCACAATAATGTTTTCAGAGTTGATCCATGTTGTCTCATTCACAGGTACAATAAGTCCTCACTTCACATTCCTGAAAGTTTCTTGAAAGTGAAACTGCATATAACAAAGCCAACTGTACCATAGCTGAATTGATATAAATAACAGTTAAGTTCCTAAGGCATAATCCTGGTCACAGAAACATTACCAAAGTTCTAAATAAGGACCTAAAACACTTCTAATATTAAACATTTGAGATAAAAAGGAGCTATACATGCATTTAACAAAGGTAAATACAAATTAGATAATAATTTTTCAACCCACTTATTTCAGTTCAGGGTTGCGGGTGGCTAGAGCCTCTCTGGGCAGCTCAGGGCTCAAGGCTGACCCACCCCGGACAGGACGCCCTTCCATCTCAGGGCACTCACAGCACCCACACTCCCTCTGCTGGGACAGTCTAGACGCCAGTGAGAGGAAATCAGAGTCCCGGAGAGAACCTAGTCAGACATGGCGAATACACGCAAACTCTGCACAGACAGTGGCCTTGGCCAGGAATAGATCTTTTTTCTCTCAACATAATGACATGACATTGAATGAAACAAAATATTTGAGGACTTGCTGTATTTCTTTTTTTTTTTCATCACCCGAGAATATTTTCCCATTGATTTTAGACAGAGTGGGAGGGAAGGAGAGAGAGAGAGAAAAAAACATCCATGTAAGATAGAAACATCGATTGGTTGCCTCCCACACAACCCTGACCAGGGCTGGGGATCAAACCTGCAACCCAGGTACATGCCCTTGATCAGGAATCGAACCTGCGACTCTTCAGTGCATGGGCCAGCGCTCTTGCCACTGAGCCAAACCAGTCAGGGCAATGTACTTCATTTCTTTTAATTGCCAGATAATGTTTTATTGTGTGGATATACCACATTTTATTTACTGTATCTTCTTTAAAAAAATTTTTTTTTCTTTATTGATTTTAGAGAGAGAGGAAGTGAGAGGGAGAGAGAGAAACATTGATGAGAGAGAACATCAATTGGCCGCTTCCTGTATGCCCCACACTGGGGATTGGGCCCACAACCTGGGCATGTGTCCTGACCAGGAATCGAACCGGCAACCTCTTGGCGCATGGGTTAGGCTCAATCACTGAGCCACACTGGCCGGACTATTGTATCTTTTTAAAGCTCTTGTTCCTTCTTAAATTCTTTCCTTATGATACAAACTCTACAAGGACTGTAGTCTGTCCAACAAGACTATATTACCAAATAGAAGACATTGAAAGTTTTCCCTGTGTTTTTAGGACTGAATGGCAACCAGATTGCAGAGTTCTTAAACTGGGAGACTGTTTTAATTTACTGTGAGGCTTAGCAGAGTGCTGAACACATAATATTTACTCATAGATACTTGTTAGTTAGTTAATGTGTTCTCTTAGTGTCAGTGCATTGAATAGTTTGTGAAAACTTTTTTTTTTTTATCCTCACCCTAGGACACTTTTCCATTTTCTGTTCAGGTAGAGTGTGGGAGGGAGAGAGAGGAACAGAGAGAGAGAGAGAAACATCGATGTGAAAGGAACACATCAAGTGGCTGCCACCCACACGACTGACCAGAGCCGGGGACAAACTGCAACCGAGGTACGCGCCCTTAGCGGGAACCGAACCTGGGTCTCTCAGGACCGCAGGCCGACGCTTTAACTGCTGAGCCAAACCGGCCAGGGCAACATTTTTGTGTCTATTATTTAACTTGGTTTTTATAAAAACTTAGTGAAGTTCTAGAAAAAAATCAATTAATTTGGAAATTATAAGTTGTGCTCATGGCTTTATGATGATTGAAATATTTTAAAGAAAGATAAAGATCACTCAATAAAAAATATATTAAACTAATACCTTGGAAAATTTCATTAGAAACTGATTTTTCAGGATGCATATTTTGCCTGGCCAGTGTGGCACAGTTGGATGAGTATTGTCCCATGCACCTTTGAAAGGTCACTGGTTCGATTCCCGGTCAGGGTACATGCCCAAGTTGTGGGCTCGATTCCCAGTAGGGGGTGTGCAAGAGTCAGCCAACTGATATTTCTGTCCCTCTCCCTTCCTTTCTCTAAAATCAGTTAAAACATTTTTTTTTTCTTAAAAAAAGGTTCTATATTTTCTGTGAAATATTTGTTCCTTTAGTTCTTAACTAATACAAAGACTTATCTAAGTTAATGTTTTATACATCTTGTTTTAAAAATCTTTTTTTTTTTTTCCAGCAAGTGGCAAAAGGTACATTTGATTTTTGAGAGCATCGATACAGTTTCAGAGGTCCTGCTCAATAATGTTCTTATTGGGAAAACAAACAACATGTTCAGAAGATATGTAAGTACATAATGACGTCAGGTAAAAGAAAACTAAACCCACTTATAGGTGTGTGTGTTCATTGTTACTAAGTAGAGAACGGTAAGTGCGTATTTGCCCTTGTAGGCTGGTACAAGCTCTTGGAAACACTATGTACGTTTCTTTATTTCTCAGTTGCCACATTTGTAGAAGGATGAAAACACTAGACACCCTGTGGAATTATTGTGAGGATTTAGTAAGCTCATCGTGTAAAATGATTGGCACAGTTCTTGACACTTGGGAAATATTCAACAGATGTTCCCGTCTCTGTTACTTGCTGATCCAGAGGTTCATGGAAAATGACAGTTGGCACACCATTTTAAAGGAAAACGTTCCTTCCTTTCTGGAATTATTGCATTATGAGATCACAGTCTGATCTCTCTTCCCTTTCAAGGGTAGACTTTCCAAAACAAAAATAACTTATGACTTAGAAATACGTGCTATTTATACCAGAGTCAGGTTGTCATGAAGCGTCTAGGAAATCCTTGGCAGTTCAAGGCCATATGTAAATAGCCAGAGCAGACATTATAGAGCTAAATATATCCTCTGCTTGCTCTGTTTACTAGAACCATCATCAGTCGGTAAGAACAGAAGGACAAACCTAGAAATCTACACTTGGGTAGGAGAGTATACTCAGTTATAACGAAAAGTCGGCAACTCAGTTGTATTATTTCCGAAAAGTGCTTTCTCCTTCAAAAAGGCTCAACCTATAGATTTTAATTATGTTTTGCACCTCTTCTTCCATCTTATATATGCCTATATCTAATCTCTTACACATGAGACTATTTCTACATTTGTTCTTTCCTTTTAATTCAGACCTTTGATATTACCCATGTGGTCAAAGCCCTAAACTCCATCGAGGTGCGTTTCCAGTCACCCGTGTCGTACGCGGCCCAGCAGAGCAGAGCTCACACCCTCTACCAGGTGCCCCCAAACTGCCCTCCGAGTGTACAGGAGGGAGAATGCCATGTCAACTTTATTCGAAAGGTAAAGGTCTCACAGATGGATGGGGCTTTATCCTTGAGGGTGGGACGTGCTGGTGTATGAAATGCTTGTTTGAAGACTCCAGTGGAAGTTGGGCATCTCTTTCTTGCCCCCTTAGTGGGATTTGAAAATTGAAAAAAATAAGAACCAAAAGATTATGTGAATTTTTGTGGAGGATTTTTCTCTTTCTATGTATTTTTCTTGAAGCATGCTTTAGAATTTAGGTAACAGCAGCAGAAGAAGACAGAAAGGTGACTGGTAATGTTTTATCTAACTTTCACCAGATGGTAAGATTCATATTTATTAGTGATTCTTGTTACTAGGGAGCCTTCTGAAAACACTAATATACGTGTGGACATGTTCTTATATTTTACTGGTAGGTTCTAATAAAATCTGAAAAAAGATAACAGAAGCCACACAAGGGAGTGTTTTCCTTTGAGTTTGATTTCAGTCTAGATAACTTGGATTTACTGTAATTCATGGTTGAATTAGTATTGTATGTGATGTTTAATTTTGTATTGTTTTTTATTTAAAATTATTTTAATTGTAGTAAAATACACATAGCACAAAATTTACCATCTTAACCATTTTTAAGTGTACAGTTCAGTATTACTAAACACATTCACATTGTTGTGAAGCCAATCTCCAGAACTTACTTCATGCTGCAAACTGAAACGCTACACTCATTAACAAATAGCTCCTTGTTTCCCCTTCTCCCAGCCCCTGACTCCCACCATTCTTTTTATTTATACCAGTTTGACTCCTCTAAATACCTCATATAAGTGGAATCATGCAGTATTTGTCTTTTTGTGACTGGCTTATTTCTCGTACCATAATGTTCTCAAGGTTCCTCCGTGTTATTGCACACGTCAGAATTTCCTTCCTTTTTAAAGCATAATAATATCCATCTGTATGTATAGACCACATTTTGTTTATTCATTAATCTGTTAGTGAACATTTGGGTTGCTTCTACCTTTGGTTCATTTGAACAATGTTGCTATGTGTGGATATACAAATATCTCTCTTGAGACCCTGCTTTCCGATTTTTTGGGTATATAGCCCAAAGTGGTATTACTGCATTGCATGATAATTCTATTTTAAATGTTTTGAGGAATTAGCATTTAATTTGAACAACAAATGTAACCACTGGCTTCCTTGTGGGTATACTAAGCGTATTTTTCCAGCACTTGTTGACCAGAACCTCAGTGGATAAATTCTGATTATTTAAGTTAAGCAGCTCTCTTTAGGCTGTTTAGACTTATCATTAAATCATGTTTTTTTCAGAGCAGCACTCAGGTCAGAATTATGCCGCCACCTGTTTGACTCTGCCTACCCAGATTTGTGTTGATAGCCATGTGTTCATATGGCTGTACCTGGCCAGTGTGTGACTGAGCCGGCAGGCCTTCCGTGGAACACTTGTGTACTTACAGTTCTGCTTAAACTTCAGCTTCTGTTTATGGCCTTCGGCTTCAAAGGGCACAGTGGTTTTAACACTAGTGGTTGCACTTTTCCCTTCTCCTCTGCCATCTTTAACTTTCTATCAAAACGAGGACTTGCCCTGGCCGGTTTTCTCAGTGGTTAGAGCATCGGCCTGCCATTCAGAGAGATCTGGGTTTTGTTCCCGCTAAGGGCGCGTACCTCGGTTGCAGTTTGTCCCTGGCCCTGGTTGGTCGTGCGGGTGGCAGCCACTCGATGTGTCCCTTTCACATCGATGTTTCTCTCTCCCTCCCACTCTATCTGAACAAAAAATGGGAAAATGTCCTTGGGTAAGGATACCCCCTCCCCCCCCCCCAAAAAAAAATAAGGACTTCCTGGATTCTAATGTGAAAGTTTACTTTTCAGGACAGCAGTAAAGGTATGTGTATGTGTTATGCAGATATCCATGTAGCAGTTTCCCTCTGCCCCTTAGCCGCCTTGTGGCATTGAAAACACACTTTCAGGTTATCTGGATAGAACAGAATCCTTTGTCAAGGATATCAGGAATCAGACCCAGGTTTCTGCTCTCACGGTGTGTGGAAGACTAAACCTGGGGTGAACTGGCCAGCAAATGAGTTACATCTTGGTGTTTCTGGCTAGATCAACCTGATCTAGAGGGAAGAGGCCTGAACTGGAGACCAAGTCAGGAATTTTGGATCTGAATTCTGGCTTCACAGACCCAGAGGGATCTTAGGCCTAAGTCCAGCATTCGAGCATGGGGCGAACCCCTTCCTGACTGTTGATATGAAGATACCGTGAAATATTAATGTAAATGCACTTTCCATCCTATAAGGTGCTATTCCCAATGTAGGACGGTGATACTATTTATTTTGGAGACTTATTTCCGTAATTACAGACCTCTAAGTGTATAATTGACAAAATGCCTCAGCTTAGCTAATATGAAGTTAGTGGGATAGAGGTGAGGAGTGGACTTAATGAGGAAACGTTACTCTCTACCTATTCTTTGACCCTTCTGCTTTCTCCACATCGACGCCAGTCCCCTCTTATCTCTGCTTCCTTCTCTGTCCAGCTTGGGTGGTGGAACCCATCACCTCACCTGCCCTCTTTGGAATATTCTACACCATCTTCTTCCTTTCCGTCAACATCTCTGGCCATTCCGTCTAAGTCTCTCTATCCAGACCAACTTCCTCTCCTTAAACGTCCTACTATGCAGTCCTCTCTCTGTTCTAGACACATTTCTCGTTTCATTTGGTATTGTCTCTAGCCTGTCTCATGTACCTTCATTTCTTCAGTCAAATTTCCAGTGACTCCTAATATTGTATGTTCAGTCCAGACCTCTCTTTAATTCCAGACCTGATATTCAGTTGCCTATTTGGCATCTTCACTTGGCTGATTCACGGGGGCCTACAGCTCAGTGTGTCCATCACTGCACTTGAGATTAAACCCTTATCCCAAGGTGCCCTGTCTTGCTGAATGGAAACCCATGAAGCACAGTTGCTCAAGCCAGAAGCCTAAGAGTTATTTTTGATAACTCCCTCTCATTTTTCCCCTCCTCAAATCCATGGCTAAGTCCTTTTGATGATGTGTGTTATTTACCTCTTCAGTGGCTCTCGAATCTTCCCACACCCCATTTCTACTACCATGCTTGAGTTCAATCTGTCATTTCTTGCATAAGGTATTGCCCTGGTCATCTAACTGGTATCCCTACAACCTCATTTGCCTTCATCCAGTTCATTTTCCATAGAGCAGCCCGCATGTTCTTTTCAGACAAAAATTGCAACACTTCCCTTCTTAAAACTCTTTAGCTGTTTTCTAGCCCTGGACAGGTGGCTAAGTTGGTTGGAGCATCATCCCATACTGCAAACGGTTGTGGGTTTGAACCCCTGTCAGGGAGGCCACCAATCGATCTTTCTCCCTCCCTTCCTCTCTCTAAACATAGCCTCAGGTTGGATTAAAAACAACAGCAACATGCCCTGGCTGATTTGGCTCAGTGGTTAGAGCATCGGCCCGCAGACCAAAGAGTCACAGGTTCAGTTCTGGTCAAGGATACGTACCTCAGTTGCGGTTCGGTCCCAGGCCTTGGTTGGGGTCATGCGGGAGGCAACCAGTCAATGTGTCCCTCTCACATCGATGTTTCTCTCTGCCTCTCACATTGTCTCTCCCCCTCCCTCCCACTCTATCTGAACATAAGTAGAAAAATATCCTCGGGTGAGGATTAAAAAACAACAACAAACTCTTCTCATTGCCTTTAGGCTAAAGTCTAGATTTCTTAACTCTGTTTGCCCATGAACACTTTTCCAGTCTTCTCCCTCTTCCATTGTTTTCTCTTCATTTCTTGGAAGGTATCACACTCTCTTGCACACACTGTTACTTCTGAAAGGATGTTTCACTTCCCTCTCCCCTCAACACACTGGATACATGGGACCCACCCTTCCAGTCTCCACACAAAAGTTGCTATTATTCAGGAAATCTTGTCTTGACATCTCCTCACCCCACTATTTGTTTCCTGTCTGTTTCCTTCATATTCGTGATATTTATTCAGTGCCTCATTTTTTGCTGTACTGTAGCACTATAAGCACAAGGACTGTGTCTGATTTGTACTTTGATGGAGTCCCAGCTTGACACACAGAAAGCACTTTAAAGTATTTTTGAATAAGTGATAACTTTTACTTGGAGAGGGTATATAAAAACGAGTGGTTTGTAGCCCTGGGTGGGGACAATAGCCTGCCTTAGAAGATGTTGCTTATGTTTGCCCTCCTCCTCCCTATCCCTAAAACAAGAATTACACATCTAACCTTACAAACTCCCCAATGAATGCCCCCAAGGTAGGTTGCATTCCAAACATGAGAATCTGATACTTATGTGGTGAATTTCAACAGCTACAGATGCTATGAAGGGGTTTTAATTCTTTGTTTTTGTTTTCTTCCTATATTGGAAACAAATTGGTCTCTGATCAATATAGAGCTTAGGAAATAATACTTAAATGAGAGCAGTTTGACCAAATCCTTAGGCTGTATTCTACAAATGCTCGGTTCAGAAAGATCTTAGTACTTCTTGTGATCCGTCTTCCTTTGTAAAAACTGAACTTGTTATCTCACACATTTTAATTCGCTGTTTTCTTGAAAGTAACTTTTTCTTTCAAAATTAGAAATAGAAATTAGAAAACAGAAGTAGAAAAATTCTGCTTAAAAAGAGATTTATTTTAAGGGAACCATCTCCTGCTTTTGAATTTGAACCTTTCTAAATCAACATGGAAATTGAAATGTGCCTAAGGGAGAGACAGCTAGCCCAGAGTGGGCGGGTGTCGGCCTTGGCCACCTGTATCAGTGAACTGATCGTTTTGGGGCTATAAGTTCAGAAACAAACTGGAGGAAATAGGCCTTGGCAAGTTTAGGTAGAGTTTCTTAAACCTATTTATAAGTATCATAATCTTCCAATGTGTTTCCTCATTCTTTATTGTTATTCCATTTAAATATATTATTCACTATAATTATTCCATTTAAATACAAAGGTAGCTTAAGAGATATTTTTGAAAAGCCTAAAAAATAACTCTTCTGTTGCCTCAATGTAACATGCTTTTTTAAAAAATTTTTTATTCTCATGAATAACAATTATGACAACAAATGTATAATGTTCACCCAACTGCAGATTGTACATTGTTTTTAAGTGCATATGGAACATTTACCAATATAGCCCATATGGTGGAATTTAAAACAGGTCTCAACAAATTTCAAAAGTGCAATAATAATGTGTGTTCTGTGACCACAGTGGAATTAATCTGGAAAACGGTAACAACTGAAAGAAAAATTAAAAAGCCCCCACACAGTCCTAAGCAAGCCATGGGTCAAAAAACAAAAACAAACCCACAATAGAATTACAAATATTTGGAACTGAGTGAAAATTAAAATATGGCATATAAAAATATGTGGAACCCATATGGTTAAAGATATTTCTTTTTCTGTGAACTGTTGAGTTTATCTTTTTTTTTCTTTCTTAGCTTTATTTTTGTTACAGATGTTTCTCCTTTTTTACCCCATTGACACCCTCCTCCCCATCCCCCCCACCCCGTCTTCGGCTTTGTTGTCCATGTCCATTGGTTATGCATACATGCATATAAGTTCTGTGGTTTATCTCTTCCCACCCCCCACCACCCCCTCTTCTGAGGGTTGTCAGTCTGTGCCCTACTTCCATGTTTCTGGGTCTACCCTATTCCTCAGACTGTTATATTCATTATATTCCATATATAAGTGAGATAATGTGGTATTTGTCTTTTTCTGCTTGGCTTGTTTCACTTAGGATAATACTTTCCAGGTCCCTCCATGTCATCTCAAAGGGTAAGGTATCTTTCTTTCTTACAGCTGCATAGTACTCCATTGTGTATATGTACCACTGCTTTTTTATCCATTCATCTACTGATGGACACTTGGGCTGTTTCCAGATCTTAGCTATTATAAATAGTGCTGCTACAAACATGGGGGTACATATATTCTTTCTGATTGGTGTTTCAGGCTTCTTCGGGTATATTCCTAGAAGCGGGATCACTGGGTCAAATGGCAATTCATTTTTTTCATTTTTTGAGGTAGCACCATATTGTTTTCCATAGTGGCTGCACCAGTCTGCATTCCTACCAGCAGTGCACTAGAGTCCCCTTTTCTCCACACCCTCGCCAACACTTGTTTGAAGATTTGTTGATGGCGGCCATTCTGACAGGTGTGAGGTGATACCTCATTGTTGTTTTAATTTTCATCTCTCTGATGATTGGTGATGTTGAGCATTTCTTCATATGTCTCTTGGCCATTTGTATGTCTTGTTTGTGGAGAGGTATCTATTCAGCTCCTCTGCCCATTTTTTAATTGGGTTTTTTGTTTTCCTTTTGTTGAGTTGTATGAATACTCTATATATTTTGGAAATTAACCCCTTATCTGATGTATCGTTGGCAATGATGTTCTCCCATACAGTGGGTTGCCTTTCCATTTTGATGGTTGTTTCTTTTGCTGTGCAGAACCTTTTTACTTTGATGTAGTCCCATGTGTTAATTTTTCCTTTGTTTCTGTTGCCTTAGGTGATGTATCAGTGAAAATTCTGCTGCATATGATGTCTGAAATTTTGTTGCCTACATTTTCTTCTAGAATTTTTATGGATTCACGGGTCACATTTAAGTCTTATCCATTTTGAATTTATTCTTGTGTAGGGTGTAAGTTGATGGTCTAGTTTCATGTTTTTGCATGTAGCTGTCCAATTTTCCCAACACCATATATTAAAGAGGCTGTCCTTACTCCACTGTATGCTCTTGCCACCTTTGTCAAATATTAATTCAACATATTGCCTTGGGTCCATTTCTGGGTTCTCTATTCTGTTCCACTGGTCGATATGCCTGTTCTTGTGCCAATACCAGGCTGTTTTGGTTACAGTCGCTTTGTAGATAACCTGATATCTGGTATTGTGATCCCACCTACTTTGTCCTTTTCTTTTTCAAAATTGCTGTGGCTATTCGGGGTCTTTTTTGGTTCCATATGAACTTGTGAAGTATTAGTTCTAGTTCTGTGAAATATGTCCTTGGTATTTAATGGGGATTGCATTGAATCTATAGATTGCTTCGGGTAATATGGACATTTTAATTATGTTCATTCTCCCAATCCATGAACAGGGTATGTGCTTCCACTTTTTTATATCTTCCTCTATTTCTTTTGTCAATGTCCTATAGTTTTCTGCAAATAGGTCCTTTACTTCTTCGGTTAAGTTTATTTCTAGGTATCTTAATTTTTTTGCCACGATGATGAATGGGATTGTTTTCTTAGTTTCTCTTTCTGTGAGTTCATCATTGGTATATAAGAATGCCGTCGATTTCTTGATGTTAATTTTGTATCCTGCTACTTTGCCAAATTCATTTATTAAGTCTAGTAGATTTTTGATGGAGTCTTTAGGGTTTTCTATGTATAATATCATGTCATCTGCAAATAATGACAGTTTCACTTCCTCTTTTCCAATTTGGATCCCTTTTATTTTTTCTTCCTGTCTGATTGCTGTGGCTAAGACTTCCAGTACAATGTTAAATAAGAGTGGCGAAAGTGGACATCCCTGTCTTGTTCCTGTTCTTAAGGGAAATGTTTTTAGTTTCTGCCCATTGAGTATGATGTTGGCTGTAGGTCTTTCATATATGTCCTTCATTATGTCTAGATATGATCCCTCTATTCCCACAGTGCTGAGCGTTTTTATCAGAAATGGATGCTGGATTTTGTCGAATGATTTTTCAGCGTCTATTGATATGATCATGTGGTTTTTATTCTTCATTTTGTTTATGTGGTGTATCACATTTATTGATTTGTGAATATTGTACCAGCCTTGCATCCCTGGGATGAATCCCAGTTGGTCATGGTGAATAATTTTTTTTGATGTATTGCTGAAATGTAACATGCTTTTGAAGAACAAATGTACATAATTAAATGTTATGTTCTTAGAACATTTCTGCAAAATTTAACTAGTTGTATAGGTTGATATATTAGTTATCTATTGCTGTGTAACCAATAATTCCCGAAGTCATCAGCATAAAACAACGTATATTGTCACAGTTTCTGTCAGGAATACGTGGCTTAGCGGGGTGTCTCTGGTTCAAGGTCACTCATGAGGTTACAGTCAAGCTATGGATCAGGGCTGCAGTCACAAGGCTGAGGAGGCCTGAAGTGTTTGTGACTAAGCTCCCTCATGTGGTTGTTGGCAGACCTCTGATTAGCTTCCAAGCTCACTCCTATGACCTCTCTGCAGAGCTGCCTTATAGCATGGTAGCTGGCTCCTCCCTTGGCCAAGAGACAGTAGGAGAGAGCACCCCAAGCTGAAGGTGCAGTCTCTTATAACCTGATTTTGGAACTTATCACCTCTGCTATATTCTGCTGGTTAGAAGTGATTCGCTAGGTCTAATCCATACTCAAGGGGAGGGGATTTTACAAGGGCATGAATACCAGGAGGGGATCATTGTGGGCCATTTTAGATCCTGTATATAAGACACACACACACACACACACTCTCTATTGTGGATTTAATTCTGTGTTTCTTCTCCCCAAATTTGTATGTTGAAGTCCTAACCCTCAGTGGCTCAAAATGTAACCCTATCTGGAGATATGGTCTTTAAAGAGGTGGCTAAGTTAAGTGAGACTGTTAGGGTGGGTCCTAGCCCCATATGAAAGATATCCTTATAAGAAGAGGGAATTTGGACAACAGAGAGACACATTAGGGATGTGTGTCTGAGCACAGAAGAAAGATTGTGAGGGCTCAGGGAGAATGCACCATCTGCGAGCCTACGAGAGAGGCTTCAGAAGAAACCATCCCTGCCAACATGGGGATCTTGGAGTTCCCAGCTTCTAGAACTGTAAGAAAATACATCTATATTGTTTAAGCTGCCCAGTCTGTGTGTTTTTTGTTGTTGTTGTTATGGCAGCCCTAGCAAACCTTTTTATTTTTATAATATTTTTTAGGTTTTGGAAAATTTTTTTACTTACAATATTTCAAAAGGAAAGGATTTAAAAAAAATAATGTTTAACTTCCATGGTAATCAGAATCTATCTTCTTTTTTTCCCCTGAAATTACAGGAGCAGTGTTCCTTTAGTTGGGACTGGGGGCCTGCCTTTCCGACCCTGGGCATCTGGGAAGATGTCAGAATTGAAGCCTATAATAGTTGTCATCTGAACTACTTCACCTTTTCCCCCATTTACGGTAAGCTAAGAGATGTGATTTCTACTTTTACTTTTATAAGCCTCTGCTGCGTTGCAAGAATTTGGTTTGTAATTTGAATATATAGATTTACTTTTCAGAGACTTATTTTTAAAAAGTTTGTGACACATTACATTTTAAAAAGTGAAAAATGTGTACAAACTGCGATTTGTCCTAAAAATTAACACTCTATAAGGCAGGCAAGCAGGCAGGTAGATACCTTTTAGCATAGTTTGAAAAGAAAGGTAGAAAGAATGGAAGGCGAGCAGCTCTAGTTTTCCCGAGCTATGTGTTTTTTCTTAAAAGAGGTAGGCCTGCCGGTTCGCGCTCCTTCCCGCTGCCTCTGTGGTCACTTTGAGAACGACGCTGTCCCAAGGTCTTGGTTTGCTCAAATTGTCAGGTCGACTTCATATCACCACACATTTTCTCCTCTGAAGGCCGGTACATACCAGCCTTGTAAAGAGTTAAAAATAAACCGGAAGGCAAATGAGGCATAAAGTTTCGTAAGGTAACATATACTACTTTTTCAGTGGAAGGAACTATTCACAAGGAAGGAGCACTGAATAAAAGCTCAGAAATCCCACAGATGTCAGTGGATCAGTTAAAAGCTGGTCACATATTTGTTGAGTTCCTGCCCAGCACTGTGTTTGGCATAGGAAAGAAAGTATCTCATTCCTGCTTGTTGATTGGGCAGGGAGGGGAGACAGAAGCGATTACCAAGCCAAACAGATTGTGTGACGGTTTTCTGGGATGGGAGACCCAGTTGTTCAGAAAATCAAAGATCAGTGAGGATTTGCGAAGTTAGGGAATCGGGGTGAAGGGAGGTGGATCTTCAGTGATAGTTTACGATGCTCGGTCCAGTCCTGCGCAGGTCTAACTCGATGTAATCAGTAAGCAGGAATGTGGTGTGTCAGTACGAGAGTTCTGCCCTCCTTAGGGCCCTGGCGACTCTAGACTGCTATTCACTGGAACCAGATCTGTGTTTTCTAAAGGCAGAAGACAGAAACAAATGAGAGAGAGTTGATATCTGAGGAGGTCATTCGGTGCTGCTGGCATTTTTAAATGTTAAAAAGGCATTAAAAGATCTAATTTTACTTGCACCTATAAATGTGGCTGTTTTAATTCTCGAGGTAGTGCTTCTCAAACTATTCTTCAGAGGCGTAACCTGAACTGAGCTGTGCTACTAAAATCAAATAATAGTTCATTCTTCCCCATCCCCACCCATAGCTTTTCTCAGGTATACAGAGTCAGGCAAAAGTAGGTTTACAGTTGTACGTACACGAAACAGTTTCTTCTTCTTTTTTAATCCTCACCTGAGGACATTTTTCCATTTATTTTTTGTTCAGATAGAATGGGGGGGAGAGAGAAAGAGAAACATCAACGTGAAAGGGACACATCGAGTGGCTGCCACCCGCACAACCCACCCAGGGCAGGGGACAAACTGTAACTGAGGTACTTGCCCTTAGTGGGAACCAAACCTGGGTCTCTCTGAACAGCAGGCCAACGCTCTAACCGCTGAGCCAAACCGGCCAGGGCAGTTTATTCTTTTTTAATTTATTTTTGTTACAGATGTTTCTCCTTTTTTTCCCTGTTGATACCCTCCTCCGCATCCCCTCACCCCGTCCTCAGCTTTGTTGTCCGTGTCCATCGGTTATGCGTACATGCATATAAGTTCTGTGGTTTATCTCTTCCCTGCCCCCAACCCCCTCTTCTGAGGGTTGTCAGTCTGCTCCCTGTTTCCACATCTCTGGGTTTACCCTGTTTCTCAGACTGTTAATGCTCATTATATTCCACAAATAAGTGAGATCATGTGTTATTTGTCTTTCTCTGCTTGGCTTGTTTCGCTTAGGATAATACTCTCCAGGTCCCTCCATGTGGTCTCAAAGGAGATCTTTGTTTCTTACAGCTGCACAGTACTCCATTGTGTATATGTACCACAGCTTTTTTATCCACTCATCTACTGATGGACACTTGGGTTGTTTCCAGATCTTAGCTATTGTAAATAGTGCTGCTATGAATATGGGGGTACATATATTCTTTCTGATTGGTGTTTCAGGCTTCTTAGGGTATATTCTTAGATGTGGGATCACTGGGTCAAATGGGAATTCAATTTTTAATTTTTTGAGGTAACACCATATTGTTTTCCATAGTGGCTGCACCAGTCTGCATTCCCACCAGCAGTGTACTAGAGTTCCCTTTTCTCCACACCCTCGCCAACACTTGTTTGATGATTTGTTGATGGCGGCCATTCTGACAGGCGGGAGGTGATACCTCATTGTTGTTTTAATTTGCATCTCTCTGATGATTAGTGATGTTGAGCATTTCTTCATATGTCTCTTGGCCATTTGTATGTCCTGTTTGGAGAAGTGTCTATTTAGTTTCTCTACCCATTTTTTAATTGGGTTCTTTGTCTTCCTTTTTTTGAGTTGTATGAGCACTCCATATATTTTAGAAATTGACCCCTTATCTGATGTATCATTCAGAGTTTATTCTTGTATTATTATTGATTATTGTAGTGTTTTCCATACGAACTATAAACCTACTTTTGCCTCACCCTATATATAATAAGGTCTAGTTTAAGAAGGGGTCTGATTTCCAAAAAGTTATTCATTTAATAGTTTTGAAGTTTAATCAATGTTTTATGTAGTTAGCAAAAAGTAATGAGTTCCTGCGACCTCGATACCTGAAAAAATTTGAATAACACTACTCTAAATTAATTAAACATTTTTAATACGAAGCTAAACATTTCTTCCTGAATATGAGTCATTAGAATTCAGTTTATTAGTCACTAGTGACTGAGTGAATTTTATTTGAATTAAATTAATTAATGTAAATGTTGCTTAAAATTTAATTAAATTCCATGAAATCAGTTCCTCGTATCAACTACATTTTTAATGTTTTATGGCTGCAGTTTATTTTGTACTTAACGTAGAGAAAAATATGTTTCCTGTTCAGAAGATGTGCCCTGTACATATTAAGCAGTAATTCTTATATTTCTGATTCATTTGATAGATTTCAGTTTGGTTATTTGATATAATAAAGAAAATTGAAGCATAGATTTATGAAAGCTTTAAGAGAGGACTTCCTTTAGGAGTTTTTTTCAGAATTTTTTTTTTTTCATCACTGAAATCAATAGAAATGTTTAGAAGTTGAGAAATAATGAGAATAAGCTAACATATTCTGAATACTTTTATGTATTTATTTGACATATACTATGAAGCAGCTATTGTGAGAGTTACTAAAACTAAAAAGTCGTTCATAATAAAAAACAGATACATATAATTTTTATTTAAAATAAAATATATTCATTTTAAAAATTTAGTGTGAAATGAAATTGGTCCAACTGATGCACACAGTGGCAATCTCTGGGTATTCATACTACAGATAGTTTGTATTTTATTTTTCTCAATTGTGTTTTCTAAATTTCGATATTGAGCCTGTATTACTTCTATAAAAAGGGAGAAAAGTAGCTAAAACAAATTAATCTATCTAGTAATCCCAGCCCCTCTCACTCTGAATGGCTAAACTAATTTGACTATGTGACCCTTTCGGCTTTCTCCCTGTTGAGTCTAAAAAGAGATAACATTTTTGCTTTTCCAAATGTTCTATTTATGTCTTAATTTAAAATTAGTGAGTTTACCCCTGAAGATCAAATGGCCAACCATAATTCCCAATATAATTGTGTATAGTATGACAGAAAAAAGGCTGTTAGTCTTTAAAAAAATTAACTTGAAATTCCTGGGAATTAATTTTTTCTTTCTCTCTCTACACACATACACACACACATATACATACACATATGTGTGTATGTGTGTATATATATTTGTTTGATTTATTTGGTCCTAACCTTAGCTTCTAAAATGATTTTTACATCTTCTTAATGTTTAAAATAATGAAAACACATTTATATTTGAAAAAAATAAATACTGAGGTCAAAGGAAAGCAATAATTACATCCATTATCTCTTAGGTTCTTGTCACTTTTCTGGGTAGTAACAGGTACCAATTCACTGATGTGACTTGCTTTAAAACGTCATTAGAAAATATTTATTTGAAGAATACATCCTTAGCCCTGAAATACTCTAATCTGGTTTTAAATAGCAGTAGCTGTTTTGGGGCACCCATATCTTCAGTGTTTTAAACAATGAAAGACTGACCTTGGTACTGAAAGGGAAGCGCGATGCTTTTTACCGGGTGTGGAAACCCAGCAAGATTCTACTGTTCTTTTCCCCTGGGGAAGGGGGGGAGACTAACCTTATCTGCTGGGGAAGGGGAGAGGAAAGTCTGGGCTGGACTGGGGTTTCCAAGGTATGATGGGTGGGGAGATGGGGAGAAGACCACTGGTCAGGTGTATATGTCCCAGTTCCAGAGATTTGGACATTTTCAAGCAAATGATCTGGCCCAAAATGCAGGTCCTGTGGTGTGGTGGTGGTGGTGGAGGTGGCGTGTGTGTGTGTGTGTGTGTGTGTGTGTGAGACAGAGAGAGAGAGATTCATTTATTGATCACTTTCTCTATACTTGTTCTTTCACATTTGTAACCTGATGTGAGTTGTTCACATTAGGCCCTAAAATTTATCAGGGAGGGATGACTGTCTAGTTTTTTGAGCTTTTCACAAGGTTACATAAACATATTCAGTCCCAATATATAAGTATGTTCTGATGAAATGCTACATTGTTTAGTCTTTTGTTACCACAGTGACAGAAAAAAGAGTATAGAGATGTTTTTTAGCCTGTGAATTCTGAGCTGAGGTGAGCTGCGTGGATCCTTGAGCTGTGCTTGAGCATCTCACAATGCAGCCTTCCCCCACCCTCTTCAAACTGACTTGCTGTCTCCGCCTAACCCACTTTGTTCTTGGTTCTCCAAGACTTAGCCTTGGGTTGGAGGAGTGTCTAGCTCTCAGCTCCACCCTGGCCTGCCCAATAGAAACCTGTATTGAAGGTTAGTGCTGCTCTTTGCTTACAGCTTAATACAGAGAATATAATACTACAGTAGAGCAAAGATCT